ACAAAATAAATAAGTAACATTTACAGTGTATACTACCTTTTTTTGCCACAATGTTTATTTAAAAATAGTTTAATGACTGCTATCATCATGTCTTTTGTGTGCGTTTTTAAAGTGCTAGAGTGCACGCCACATAAGCATGAAACAATTCTTAAGTAATTAGCGCCTAATAAGATTTAGTTATCAACTAACTATAAGAATTCAGTGAGGCATAAACAAAGACAAGTTTCCTTTCTGGCATTGTGTTCATGCCCCAGTGAATTCTTAGTTAGTTGATAACWAAACCTTGTTAGATGTTGATAGTTAAGAATTGTTTCATGCTTTTTTGGCGTGCACTCTACTTGCATGAAAATGGCCTTATTTCAAARCTTCAAGCAATACAAATATATGACTCCTTTATATCTATTAAAAACAATTGCGGGAAAATATTTTTTTTTGAATTGTCCCACATCAGAGAAATTTTGATTCAAAAGATGGAAGAACAAAAGGATGGAACATTTTTTGCCCAAAATTATTATGGATTTGTACCAATATCTTCTTGAAATCTGTTGCTTCGCGATTATTAGACCCATATGGATAGGTCTATTTGATTTCCAAGTATTTTCTAATGTTTTCCAATTTTCGTCCAAGTAGCCCTTTAAGGTATATTTTTAGTGTAGAAGCCCGAGTAAGCGCTTTAATATTTATGTTGTCTATTTATTACACTGTTTGAATTCTATTAAACCCTTAGTATTAAAAGACTTGCTTTTACAAGGAATTTGTTATGCTAATCTGAAATCTATAAATAGCAACACGTCATGTGATGGGTAGACGAATAAAACACGTTTTGCAGTAAAAATCATTAAAAGCTAAAATGKCTATGATTTTAAAACTTATTTTTAATTCATTTGCTATCGATGAAAGGTGAATAAATTAATATTCTTTTTCGATGATATATCCCCCTTGATGGTGACGAATGGATACCGTGCACTTAATTTTCACTTCAAGCCAAATATCGCGTCGTATCTCTCTCATTTCATCGCTAGTTCATTTTTTAGCGTTATACGACAGTGCAAATTTTATATCCTTCATAAAGACCTTAAACTACTGAGTTTGTCTTTTATACAGTAGATATCTGATCGCCGTAAGTAATTTATTTGTCTTTCCAAACTTAAAATGCACGCANTTTCAATCGTTCTCCTATACGCGCGCATCCATGTAATATCCTGTCTTTATCACTCCAAGAGCGTCTAGTTCCAGATAGACCGCGGGATGCGCTGCACTGTTTTGCAGTTTTTTTTCAAATACAACTGAATAAGTTTTTGAAACTGTTTCTCTGATGGATACTACTGTAGTAATTTAATACAAGTTTCAGATCATATTTTCAAACCCCACATTGTCACTTTGAATTAAACATACATTTGAAGAAATGACATTTATAAAGTGCAAAATACATTCACATTGCGGTTCAGATTAACCAATAATTTTTGGTAGAGATTTGGTATAATTCAAGTCATAACATGTATTACTGTCTACGACTAGTGCTGCGTCATCTGATCCAGACTTCCTTTCACTTAACCCCAGACAACCGAAAGAAATCCGAATGTGACACAGAAGACTGTTGTTTACTGAACAAAACATCTCCAAATTTGGCATGAATTTAACATGCTATTAAAACAAGGCAAAAGGTCACAGTTTTTATTTTTACGACAAACTCAAACAACTGACTTTAAGCTGACTGACAGCTGTTTCTATTGGTTGATTTAGTTTGCTTTTAATAAGAAGGAGTGTCTGTCACAGCATATCTAGCAAGTCAAACGTGTCATAGTCAGACGAACCGAAGAGTTGGGAAGATACTGACACACCTAAATATTACTTCAGCTTAGTTACTTTAGATCAAGACTTCAAACCTTTTCTGAGGTAAGGCATCGGATTATGGTTTACTCTGATCTTATACTTTACCCGGAAAGAAGAAATATTTTGCAATGAACAATGCAGCCAGCTTTCGTAGTGCTCACTCATCGAAGTCATGTGAACGAAACGTGGTATAGTGCCATATAGCGAGTTATAGAGATGACGAACTCTTAGTATCGAAGTGAAACAGACTTGATTAATCAATTTAAGTTCCACAACGATTGCTTCGTACTTTTTAAAATATGGAGTTCTATTACAAGCTGTCTAATATTACGAACTCATGAGTAGTTGAGGCTAGCAGTGCTTAGTGTCGAGTGTAGTTGCTGAAACCCGATACAAAAAGCCATTCTTTAGAAGTTTTTACAATTTGTAGCTTCAGCTTATTACAAGGTCAGCTTTGCCTGATAGATTTTCACTCCATTTTACTCCACATTTTATAAAAGACTAACCAGGAATTAAAATCGCGGTAGAATGATCGCCAGGTCTCCAGGTTAGGATGGCTACATTTATCAGCAGAAACTGCATTGAAATCCTGTCACAGTACAGGTTTCACTTTCCTGTGATCAATATTGATCATCGCTTATTTTCGCTGTTACAGAAACTAAAGATGGCTACTGGATGGTCAACAATTACAAAAGAAAACACCAACTTTGCTCGATTGTGTAAATTACTCATCGATGGAGGAACTCATGCCCTTAGAGTCATTTTTGATGCCAAACATCCACCTCACGATCTAAAGAAACATTTGATGGACAGCAGGATTCATAATATCTTAAAGAATTTGAAGGCTAAAAAACTTCTACGACCAGAGCAGTGGAACAGACTGTATCCAACTGTAGGATCGGCAACATCTGCAGGTTTTGACATAACTCTTTTAAGTTTACTGTTGCGCAATATCTGCAATTTGCCAACACCAGTAAAAGGATGGAACGAAGAGCCTGCTACAGGAAGTGTTAACGTGGAAGATGATGTAGTAAGGTTGAGATTATACCGTAATAATCTCTATGGTCACATCTCTGAACCAGCTCTATCAAACGCTGATTTCAACAAGTACTGGAACGACATTGAAACTGTTTTGTTAAGACATGGTGTAAACAAGACAGCCATTGATAGTCTTAAGACACAATCCTTCGAACCAGAAGATGAAGACTACTACATCAAATGCTTAAAAGAATGGATCACTAATGAGGCTGATAGAGTTATCCATGAAGTGAAGGAATCAGTGAAGGAATCAGAAAAGAGAGTGCTGGATGAATTTGAAAGCGTAAAGGACAAGCTGGAAAAAGT